GACCACTGGAGCCTCCTCCACTGCTCCCACCTCCACAGAGGTGACCTCCATGGATTCCATGACCACCACAGCAGACTTATCCACTTCCTTTTATACCACTGGAGTCACCCCCAGCACAGCGACCTCCATGGCTTCCACAACCACCATGGGATATTTATCCACTTCCTTCTCAACCAGTGAATCCACCCCCAGCACAGTCATCTCCACAGAAGGGACCTCCACAGAAGCTCCAACCACCTCAGGAGACTCATCTACTTCCTTCCCGACCACTAGAGTCACCTCCACTGCTCCCTCCTCCCCAGAGATGACCTCCATGTCTTCCACGACCACCATGGGAGACTCATCCACTTCCTTCCCAACCACTGGACCCACCACCAGCACAGTCATCTCCACAGAAGGGACCTCCACAGAAGCTCCCACCACCTCAGGAGACTCATCTACCTCCTTCCTGACCACTGGAGCCTCCTCCACTGCTCCCACCTCCACAGAGGTGACCTCCATGGATTCCATGACCACCACAGCAGACTTATCCACTTCCTTTTATACCACTGGCGTCACCCCCAGCACAGCGACCTCCATGGCTTCCACGACCACCATTCAGGAGACTTATCCACTTCCTTCATGACCACTGGAGCCACCACCAGCACTGTCATCTCCACAGGAGGGACCTCCACAGAAGTTCCCACCACCTCAGGAGACTTATCCACTTCCTTCATGACCACTGGAGCCACCACCAGCACTGTCATCTCCACAGGAGGGACCTCCACAGAAGTTCCCACCACCTCAGGAGACTTATCCACTTCCTTCATGACCACTGGAGCCACCACCAGCACTGTCATCTCCACAGGAGGGACCTCCACAGAAGTTCCCACCACCTCAGGAGACTCATCTACTTCCTACGCAACCAATGAACCCTCCTCCACTGCTCCCACCTCCCCACAGATCACCTCCATGGCTTCCCCAACCACCACTGGAGACTTATCCACTTCCTTCTCCACCACTGGATCCACCCCCAGCACTGTCACCTCCACACAGGTGACCTCCATACAAGGTTCCACCAACTCAGCAGAATCCTCCACTGCCTTCTCCCCCACTGAAGCCACTTCCCCACAGGTCACCTCCACAGGAGCACTCACCACCTCTGCAGACTCCTCCACCATCTTCTCCACTGCTGCCTTCACCACCACAGATGTCACCTTTTCATCATCCCCCACCACTTCAGGTGATTTCTCCACTGCCTTCTCCTCCGCTGCAAGCACCCTCGCCAACTCAGAGGTGACCTCCACGGCAGCACCCACTACCATCACCCATGTGACCTCCACAGCACCCATCACCCCCACCCAAGTGACCCCCACAGTGGCCTCTACCACTCAAGTGAGCTCCACAACACCCACCACCACCCAAGAGACCTCCACAGCACCCACCACCACCCAACAGAACTCC